CCACACTCACTCCTATGGGCAGTTTAGTCGCCAGTCAACCTAAGCTGCATGTCTTTGGACTGTGGGAGGAAGCCGGAGTACCTAGAGAAAACCCACGCAGGCACAGATAGAACATGCAAACTCCACAGAGAAAGGCACCCAGTCGGCCGGAGCTCGAACCCAGAACACAAGCATTCAATATCCCTTTATTTTCATTCGTACTTACTGACGGCAGTCCCTGCTAGTGAACAGTCATTACTACTTAATATTCATCATATTTCCTGTTTTGCTCACAGATGTTCTATGGATGTTTATGTTTAATAACAAACCATCAACATTTTCTTTAGTTTTTTGTCTTTATAATTAAAATTGCATTTAAAACCTCTTGATAAGATCATATTTGTGATATTTCATATAAATGTAGTCTTGTAACTAACTAAACCCGGGTCTGATGCTGTGGCTCATATTACTTATAAAAAAATATGAAATAATTGCTTACAAATAAACAAATGCTACAATCTCAGTTTGTAGTAAGCTCTCTGTGGATGACTGCATATCACACCATTTTACCCTCAGTTTGGCTAGAATGTTGTATGGTTGTAAAGAGGGCTAGAAACATCAAGTCACTGCCTCTTTTGTGAGAGATTGTTCAAGCTCAATTGGTACCTCTGAAAAACAGCTTTGTCCAAGAGATCAGCCAGAATAATAAAAGAGGCTCAGGAGAAAAGAGGGGCTCATTGTGGTCAGTCGGCTCCCAAAGCTGAATGTCACTGTGGTCATTTGATGGCTGGTGTCAAAGACCATTGTGGGTCCTGAAATGCCAGATTGGAGGTAACGGAGTTGCTGAATGAAATCAATGCAAGTGGGACAAAGATGACTTTTCTCTTAGTTTGTACAGTGAGTTGTGTATAGTTTGTTAACGTTTGTGTTCAGATGTGTAGTTGTGTGTGTATACACCTGTCTGTGTTGGAGAAGCAGTGTATAGGTCAACTGTGTTTGTTTGTAGAAATTTAGCTGGCACAGGCCTTTCACACCCCTGAGATCAGCACTTTGCACCCCCAGGAGAAAGACTCCCAGAGAAAGGAGTGGATGCACTCAATAGACCCCTATTATACCCATGTTGCATCAATTGTGTGATAGCAGATACCACTGCCAATGGAAAAGTGCTGTACAAACACTTTGAGATAAAAGTTCAATACACCTGTGTATTGAGAGCTGACAATAAGCTGCAGAAAACTAGACAGACTGAACCCACACACGAAGTCATGATCATCCTGTATGTCTGCAGAACTTGGGAAACTCCACATGTACTGTAGAATAGAAATGAACCATTATTTTTAAGTTTCACATACAGGATACAGCATGATGATGGTGCTGTTCCACTACCCACCTGCACTGGTGTGTGTGTGTGCAGCTGTTTCTATGTGTGATAAATCCCATGTCTGTTGGCCACAGCCTCAGAACAGTTGCCTAGGACTTGTATGCATGCTAAGATAGGAACAAGCCTGGGCAGGTCGCTCCGTTCCCTTCACAGGACAATAGCTGTTTCAGATACTTGGCTGAGAAGTCTTGGAGGATCTATGAGAGACTGGGGGCTTCTCATGGCCCCTCAGCTGCCTGGCATTTATGCTTTTGCCAAGTTCAAGATGTGTACACTGAGACTGGCAAGTTTTTTAGAAATGCAGATAAAGGCTGATGCTAAAATGCTTTTCTGGCAGTCCAAATAAACAAGTCAGCACTGAGGACTGAATCAGAGAGCTGTTGTTTTCTCGCTGTGGCATTTTGTACATTATACCCCATCCTGTCCCTGCTTGTTTTCAAGGTGAAGTTTAATACATTGGATTTGAGCTCCATAACTGAGCTAGCATCCATCCATCCATTATCTATAGTGCTTATTGCTGAATAGGGTCGCAGGGAGGCTGGCGCCTATCCTATCTAACATTGGGTGAGAGGTGGGGTACACCCAGTTTGCAAGTCTATCACAGGGTTGGCATATAGACAAACAACCACACACACCCACATTCACTCCTACGAGCGATTTCAGAGTTGCCAATCAACCTAAGCTGCATGTCTTTGGACTTTGGGAGGAAGCCGGAGTACCCGAAGAAAACCCATACAGGCACAGGGTGAACATGCAAACTCCACACAGAAAGGCCCCAGGTTAGGCCCCAGGTTGAGCCCTGGCCAACCCGATACTGTCTTACTGAGCTAGCAAGAGTCAGCAAAATCTTGAAGCTACCAAGAGTCATAGAGCTCCTTCATAGACCCTGTCTGACTGTTCCTAAACCATGAGCCATGATACCACATTTAGTCCAATCCACTTAGGATACAGTTAAGATGGGTGTAGAATAATGGCAGCTTCATGTCAGCACTGTATTGTTTAGAGAAGCTAGATTGTGACTGGAAGGTTGTAATATATCTTTAGCACACTTCTATGTGTCCCATTTATTGCTGATATGATTTATTCCATAGGAAATGCAATTGCTTTACTGGACATCTCTTGGGTATCATTGTCAGAATAGTTTGGACTGGTGACAGTATATATTTATAACAATGAATTTTCCTTGACATTAAAAAATGTTTATTAACGTTGATGAGATAGAATACAAACTGGACAACTAATCCGGTTGAATAGCACAGACACAACACACACATAACATATGACTAGTTTCCACGTAGAATACCGTACACTACAATCCTGAACAATGACTGTAGGCAGCATCTTCCCTGAGGGTGGTGACGTGCTGTAAAACACTTGAACATCCACCTAAATAGTTTCTAAATGAATTAGGTGGGTAGTTCTAAGAATAAAAGTAAACGTGTAAAATGTTTTCAGTGAAATGAAAACTGAATTGTGTAATGATATGCAACCTTCACAAACAGAAGGTTTCAGTTAATGGACAGCAGTGTGACTGACTGAGCAAGAAAGACCTGTTCTCAAATAGTGGCAGTAAGCACCAGCCATCCTGAAGTGCTCTTGAGCAGGACTGAATATCTTTCAGTGAATTTTCACATTACATTGGTCGATTTAAATATGTGTTACTGCTGCTGCGATTACTGCTATTACAGAATATGAAATGTCACTTTTCACTGGGGACCAGGTAGTGACTAAGTATTGTTTGCATTATTTATTAATCTGACAATTTTTTCTTGATAAATCAACTATCCATCCATCCATTTTCCTCCGCTTATCCGGGACCGGGTCGCGGGGGCAGCAGTCTAAGCAAAGATGCCCAGACTTCCCTCTCTCCAGACACTTCCTCCAGCTCCTCCGGGAAAATGCAGAGGCATTCCCAGGCCAGCCGAGAGACATAGTCCCTCCAGCGTGTCCTGGGTCTTCCCCGGGGCCTCCTCCCAGTGGGACATGCCCGGAACAGTGTGCTTCAGGAAGGCCATCCGGCGTAAAACACGTGCCAAATGTCAACTTGAGTCATCAGTTTGACGATTCGCTGTTGTGACCCCTAAATGGGAAAAGCCGCCTCCTCCAATCTCTAAGGGTGCGCCCGGCCGCCCTGTGGAGAAAGCTCATTTCGGCTGCCTGTATCCGGGATCTTGCCTTTTCGGTCATGACCCAAAGCTCATGACCATAGGTAAAAGTCGGAACGTAGATTGAGGGCAGGAACTCTCCACCAACCTGAAGGGACCAAGCCACCCTTTTCCGACTGAGAACCATGGCCTCGCATTTGGAGGTGCTGATTCTCATCCCAGCCGCTTCCCACTCGGCTGCAAACCGCCCCAGTGCATGCTGGAGGTCCTGGTTTGATGGGGCCAACAGGACAACGTCGTCTGCAAAAAGCAGAGACGAGATCCTGTGGTCCCCAAACCGGACTCCCTCCGGCCCCTGGCAGCGCCTAGAAATTCTGTCCATAAAAATAATGAACAGAACCGGTGACAAAGGGCAGCCCTGCCGGAGTCCAACATGCACTGGAAACAAGTCTGACTTACTGCCGGCGATGCAAACCAAGCTCCTGCTCCGGTCGTAAAGGGACCAGACGGCCCTTAGCAAAGGGCCCCGGACCCCGTACTCCCGGAGCACCCCCCACAGGGCGCTGCGAGGGAAATCAACTAATTTGGCCCCAAAAATGTCAAAATTGTTAACCATGGCAATTGTAGTTTCCCAAAGGCTAAGGAGAATGTATTGTTTTGTCTAACCAACAGCGTTACACAGTCCCAAGCCCAAACATAATTAGCTTGTCATAGAAAACTAAGAAAATATTCATAATTAAGCAGTGAATATTTGGAATTTTTGTATAAATACCATTAATTATTTATCACGAATTCTCATACATTTACCAGCGTTTTTCACTTGTGCTGTGCATGTGTGATATTTGTATGTTGGTCATTATGATGCAATGACACTTTGTAGACTGGTGCTTACTAACTTACACATTCTCTACAAGCTGTGAGACACAGAGAAAATGAGCGAATATCATAACCATTTTATCAGTGCCTATTGGAATATCAGTGTGCGCACTGTCCGGCCTAGTGACTGGCACGCTCTCTACTTTATGAATGGATGGGTGTGGCGCTGGTGACTAGAGATGAGCTGTCGTCACTGAGCTCGTTGATACCCGCTGGCGTGCTGTTGGTGAGGGCTGGTCTGGAGCGAAACATAACTGGGTCCTGCCTCCGCTTGGAGACACACCAGGAGAAGGAAAGGAAAGGAGAGGTAAGGACAGAGACCGAAACAGCGGCATCACCCACTCACCAAGGAGGACAAACTTCTGGCGAGAAATCTGGTGAGAGAGGATACTTGGATAAAAACAAGGGCGCGGTGCAACGAAATGTGCACGGACTTTTATTTAAGGATGATAAAAAATATGATAAGTAAATAAATCGCATAAATAGAAAACATTAGAGATGATAGCCTATTACATTGGAGCAGACATGTGATGAGGACGAAATGCATGCGAGCTGATATAAAGAATCCCCGTGCTTGTGCGCTGTAAAGTCTATAGCGAGTCATTTTTTAAGAAAACGAGATCATCCAGTCTTGACTAGCGGCTCTCCTGTGTAAAAACAGACAGACAAAAGAAAGTCGAGGCAAGGTCTCCTCCTCCATGTGCTCCCTCCTTGTAGGTATGAGAGAAACAACAAAGACTCGCATCAGGACCACAGCCGGACAACAGCACAGACAGGTCTCGGAACACAATAGCGGGGACTTGCAAACAAAAGCATGTTTGCAGGTTTTGCACTATGCAGAAGTCTTCATATAATTACATTCCTCTTGGCGTCTCTCTGCTGCAGCAGTCGGGAGTCTTTTTCTTCTGTCAGTTCTGGCAGATTTCCACCAAACATGCGCATTTAGAAACGAAGCCGATCATTTGAAGACGCCCAGGTCGAGACCGAAACGGAGCAAGTGTTCAGATATGTGAGTTGTAATCCGATGTTGTTATGCAGAGGAATGCTCTGAAGTGATCGCATGTATTTGTGCCTTGCAGTTTAATGGGACGAAGCAAGAGACGAGAGCTGCCCAGAATAAACTAAAGGGAAAAGAGGAGCGGAGAGGTGTGAACTGAAAGTGGACATCGAGGGCCAAGACACCTGAACTGATTCCAGAGTTGAATGTTTTTCAAAGGTAGGAGCCAAGACAATTATACTATTTGTTATAGGTAGGTAATCTATTTAAACTGTATATGCGCGCAGCGTACCCATCCACAATGCAGACCACGTGTGCACAGACAGGGATTGCATAACGGTACACATAGTTTGTGTTATTCTCAGTTTTGCATCGAAAAACCCCAGGTTGAATTTAATTAACCAGACTTGTTAAGCTTTTCTGGAGACATCTGCTAAGACATCTTTAGAGTAGATGCATTGGACTGTTATTTCTCCATCTGAAATTATATAACGCAACTTTTATATTTAGATCAGATTATAAAATTAATGTGGGTGTGTTACTTGAAGTGAACCCAAGACAAAATATGCGCAACACTGATAAGTCATGTGTCTTCTGGCCTAGAGGGCCAGTTAAATTCTTTGGCAGCACAACTTTCACAACAGTCTGTTATGCTTTTATTCTCTTTGTGTTAACGTGTTGGGAGGCTCATAAAACATTCTTCGAGAGCTGTTACCCGATGTTACAATGCGGAATAACAGTAAAAATAAAATATAATACAAAAATTTGTGGCAATAAACTACAAAAAATAACTTCTGTATCCTTACCAGAAGTGCCTCACACTCCCTGTCTGTGTTTTTGTTTGTGATAATATTTTTAAAAAGCTTCAATATAACTTTCTTTGGCTATGTTTGCTTTATTCTGCTTTAATTGGGTTATCTGCAGTGATAAGGTAATTAGCCAGTAAGTCAGTCTAATTTGCAGAAGTTTAGTTTGTTTTTCTTGCTTAAACACAGAATTAGATATCTCCACCATTTGTAGCCTGGATGACTGAGTCTCTCGGTGTCTACAGAACAAAAGAGTGGTCACTGCAGTTATTCTGTGTACTAAACCATACAAAACCAAAGCATGGGAGGAAACATCGTATCTCTGACAACAGCCAAAACGCCATCCAGTTATCAACTACACCAGTAATGCCCGTGGTAGCCCAGTATTTCCAGATGTTTTGCTTCTCTCTCTTTTCCTACTTTGAGAGCAGAAAACAGATGGTGGGTGTGGTGCTATGGTCCAGTACAGTTGACATCAGTTCCTCCGCTCAGTCCCACTCCTCTGTGTTTTTCTGTCAGCTGTGGAATTTGAACCATTCTTCCTTTGGGGTGAGGCCCTGCCCCTGTTCAGAAGAGAAGGTTGTCTCCAGCAGAGGCTGGGAGTCTGTATGTGGGTAACTGGGGCTTTCCAGCAGGATTGCACACCAAACATTCCTGGCTGCTGGATAGCCAACTAACAGGCCACGTCCACGCAGCTGGGAGCCATATAAGAAGTTGTGTCTTTGTGTCAGTTCAGCAGTATCATACACACACACACACACATGTTTGCTCACGTTACTGTAACACACAGTCTTTACTTTGACTTGCATTCATTTCCCATAGACCTGCCCTAACGTTAAAACAAGTCATCACTCCAAAATTCAAGGATTTGGTATGTGGAAAGCACCGTAAGGAAAGTAAGTCCCCACAGTGCAAGTGGGCTTTTGGGGTTGGGGTCACCACAAGGATTGAAAAACAAGGCCACACACATACATACACATCCTTGGACACCAACACAGGCATTCATGAAAAACAGAGACTCACAGTCACCATACAACTGTGTCTTCTTCTCTTACCAGCACCACATGATGTTTAGTATGTTTTGGAGAGAGAGAGAAAACAGTGGGGGAGGGGCGAGAGAGGGAGAGAAACAAGTGATTGCGCTGATGATGGCAACTGTGCAGTTTGTTTCTGTCTTATTGGCTCTCATTGGTTGTTTTTTTAAATAGTGTGTCAGTGAGAAAGAATGTGTATGCAAGAGCACAAAGAAGAGTGAGACAGTGAGGGCAAAGTTAAGGAACATGGGCCTGAGAGAAGAGAAGAGAGGAGAGGAGAGGAAAGGAGAGGAGAGGAGAGGAGAAGAGAGGAGAGGAGAGAAGAGAAGAGATTTTGCTGTGAAGAGTAGAACCAGGAGGAAAAGGAGTTCAGACACTGAGGAAGAGGGACATGAAGGGGTTTTGGCTAAGGAAATTAGAGCAGAGTAGGCTGAGGGAGCAACAAAAAGAGTGAGTAAGACATCAAGTGAGAGAGAATGTATGTCAGACACTTGATTGCATGTGACTGTAAACATGATAAATCAGAGCGCAGCACATGTACTTGAACCCTTTTCCACCTCACATCTATTGCCACTCCTTCCTCTAATTTTGACTTAGAATGAAATAAAAATGAAAATAAAAACCCTCAAGACAATCTGTGCTGAAGAGGTACAGAAAAAAGCCTTGTTGGCTTCTCAGGCCAACTTTTTCAGAAGCAGTTCCAGATGCAGACTCCTGTGAACATCTATCTTTAACAGCCTCTAATGTGGTAATCTGTAGCACTATGTCACCAGCACTCCCATTCTCTCTCTGTTTTCATTGTATGTGTGTGTGAGTGAGTGAGTGTGGTTAGGTTTTATAGGCCTCTGCGTCTGGTTTGAATTACAGTGAGCAAACAAATGGATATAGTCTGGTTCACTAAACAATAAAAACGATATTAGTATAAAAACATATGATTTCAACAGTTTTTATACATAATCCTAACACACCTTTTCAACAGTAGATAGCTCTAGTGTGAGGGAATGGCCTCTGTGTGTGAGTGGGAGGGTGGTGAGAGACTTGGATAAGAAGGTGTGGCATTGCCAGTGAGGACAGGGCAGGGTTGGGTCCTGCCAACAAGGTGAGAGGAGATAAGAGGCATTTCATGTCTCTGGTCAGTTGTGTTTGCTCAGACAGCTCGAAGCTAGGCTGAGGCAAGAGCCTGACGGGGTTGTGATCCAGGATGGCTGCACAGACAG